GGGTCGAGCGGAAAACCGCAGGGCACAACGCGTTGCCACACTTTAGCAGGGCCCGATAGGCCTTTGAGCCCCAGGGAAACCGCGACGTGTGGGCCCCTGGGCTTATCCAAAAGAGCCTGGACTTATGGGAGGAGACACTGCGAGATCATAAAGTAGTCAAAGATGTTGTTATTGCAGGTGGCATCCTCAGGCGCAACATACTGCAAATGCCAACGGCCTGGCCAGTCAGAGGCTACGATCTCGTCCACAGGAATGTTCCAGTCGCCGCCGACTATCACAGGCCACTCCCATGCAGCAATACACTCGCCCAAGATTGCCAGCAAGTCCTGGTTTCTCGGGCCCAGACCTTCGTTCGTCACCAGGTAGGCCGAGACGAAAACCATCTGGACGTCCGACGTCACTGAGACCAACTGGGCGACCAGGCGATGCCTCACTCTCTCAGGGAAAGCCTCCGCCAAGGACTTGGCCCCGACAGAAGATCGCGACAGCATTGCCACCCCACCAGAGTGCTCCAGGGCCCCGTCGCCTGTGGCCGCGGCCGCCCCAGCGTGCATCGCGAAGCCCGCCTTGCCAGCCCACGAGGTTGGGGACGCCGCACTCCCCTGCAGCAAACGCGTCTCCTGAAAGAAGTAGTGGTGAACCTCACGCTTCACATCGTGGTGCATCCACTCCATGAACGCCTGAGCCGTCGACCAAGCGTTGCAGTTGTACGTGATCAGCGCGAGAGTGTCGTCGTTGAGTGTGTCGGTGACCTTGGCCTCGCTGTCCTGAGTGCAAGGTAGCTGAGCGGCGACCACGGTCACGACATCTGCCTGAGCCGAGAGCTTTCCACCATCCTCCTCAGCTGCGACGAATGACCCCCCCGTGGATAGGGCGCCCAGCGGGGGAGGGTCCCGACCAGCCCCAGTGGGGCCGCTCGTGCTCGGGCTCGCGTTCTCGCCAGTCGAGGCCCCCCGATGGTCGGTGCCCTCAACCTCAGATGCCGCAAGGGCAAGAGGCGAGCAGTGCGTGCCATCGGGGCCGGCAGCGTGACGACGTATGAGCCCTGCTGGGGCGCCTCCGTGTCGCTCATGTGGCTGGGCCTCTCCAGTGGCCAGCGGCGCGGCGGCGGCGGGTCCCCGGGATGCTGGGGCCTCCGCGGCGGCGGCGCTCGCGCTGGCCGAGGGAGAGGCCTCTGCCCCTCCGTGTCGCTCATGTGGCTGGGCCCCCACAGGCACCAGAGGCGCGGCGGCGGCGGCCCCCCAGGCTGCTGGGGTCTCCGCGGCGGCGGCGTCGCTGCTGGCGCCGATGGGGGCCTGTGCCCCAGCAGCCGCAGCAGCAGGCGAACGCGATCCACTCGTGCCAGTAGATCCAGGGCGGGTAGCCGAACGGGTTCTCCCTGTGGGCGCGGGGGCTCGACGGTCGGGGGCTGAATCCCCTGCCCCCGCGCCCTTCGGTGGCCTCCCCATGGCCGCAGGCGCTGGCTGTGGGTGCCAACGACCAGCCAGCAACAGCTCGTCAGGGCCAGCTGCAGCTGCGACAGGGAAGTTCAGGTCTGGCCAATCTAGGTCTTCAGGATTCGAAGCCCAGAAGGTTGGCAACACATCCAGAGGCGAGTAGCCTCTCGGGCGCACGGACTGAGCGCCCTCTGAGCCAGAGGACTGGGCCCCCCTCAGGCAGCGGCGCCTTCGGGGGCCCCTGCCTGCTCCAACTTGGCCTTGCTGTCCCGAGCGCGAGTCCGAACATCAGGTACCACAGCGGGCATCTCCGCTGAGAGGTCCAGCGGCGGCGGCGCCTGGGCTGCGCCCTGCCCTGGGCCAGAGGCTGCCGCTGCCTCGCCAGCCGCCCCTCGCGCAGTGCCATCCTCGGCCTTGCGCTTCTTCGTGAGCCTGGAGCACTGGGCAGCGTGCTCGGCTTTGAGCTTCTCGAAGTGTTCCTTTGCCTGAGAGAAAAGCGATTTTGCATTGTCTGCGATAAGCGCCTCCAGCTTCTGCTTGCGCTGCTGGAGCTCCTGCTTGTCCGTGTCAGACAACTCATACTCCTCATCACCCACTTCGAACAAGTTCCCACAGTCGATCCTGAAAGAGCCGTCGAGGAGCGAGTCCAAGCGCGCACCCGTAGGCTCGACAGCCTCGGCGACGGCTGCCTGCTGGGGGTGCTCGGCGAGCCTGAGCTTGAGGCCCGCGATTTGAGCGTCGTAGGAGTCCAGCTCATCGCTGAGTTCTTGGATCTTCTGCCTCTGACGAGCCACACTCTTCTCCCATTTGTCGACCAGGTCGAGTTCTTTCTCCATGCGCTTGACATGGGCATCTCTCTCTTCAACCAAATTGTACAATTGCTTCTCGGGCGGGATCGCAACAGGAGCAGCAGCCAGACGATCCAGCTCCAGAAGGCGGAGCTTGCACTGACTGGAGACCATCGCGAGGCCATGCTCCTCGGCCAGGGCCGCAAGCTGCATGACCTCCTCCCGCTGCATCTGTTTGACATTGAAGGCCATGGGGTCTGAGCCGCTGGCAAACTGGGGGCCAGAGCGAGGTGGCTGACGCGCCTCTCCTTGCAGACCCTTGCCGCCCTCGGCCCTGCCCCCCTTGGGAGCTCCCCTGCCCCCCGCCTTTCCATCAGCTGCCACCCGTCCGTTGCGCCAGCGCCCAGGCTTCTGAGCTGCCCGAGGCTCGGCCTGAACCGACGGCTGTTCGACCCAGGGCTCACGGGCGTGTAGGGGGGCACCGCACTGGAAGCAATTGTTTGCAGACCGCTTGTTCTTACCACATCCGCATGTCCAACACTTGAGGAACTCAGGCTTTGCCGCGGCCAGCTTCCAATCGTCGGCAGCAGAAGAGCGAGAAGGAACCCAATGAACATGCTGTTTGGTCATTCGAGGCTGCGCACCTCGGAAGTGGTAGTGTATACGCGAAAAGGAAGAGCCTCCAGCCTGGGCAGGCTGAGAAGGAGGCTCTGAGCAGTCGGGGGCCGTCCCTCCCCCACGCCAGAATGCCAAGTCTGAACACAACCGCCGCTACGGACTTGAGCCAAAATGGCTACGGAGGAGGAGGAGGAGCACCAACCATGTTGCATACTAATAGACCCTCCTTGCACGAGTCTGCTTTCGCTGCGGAAAGTAGCCCGTTGGAATGTAACCGTCGGAGATTCCCCAATCTCGCCAAAACACAAGGCATGAGAGTTTCGCGCCGCGAATAAACGTGATTGTTGCGTTTTGACAATCCTACGTCGCGCCAGAACTTCGCTCCTGGGACTTCAGCACCGCGAAGATATGGATTGATTGAGCCCCGACGGTCCTAAATCGTGCCAGAGAACCATACCTGTGACCTCAACCATACGAATTCTAGGAAAGGTTGCAAGCTTTTGAGACGAATGTGCGCGGCGTTGTGGGGAGAACCACCTTTTGAACAGGAGCCGCCCTTCATCGTTGAAGCTGTTGCGAACTCGTAAGACGAATGTGCGCGGCGCTCAGGCGAGAGCCGCCTTTTGAAAAAGGACCCGCCCTCCATCTTTGAATGTGCTGCATAGTTGTATGGCGACTGTGCGCGGCGCCATGGCGAGAGCCAGATTTTGAAAAGGACCCACCCTCTACTAAACGAGTGCCGCATTTTGAGTACGGCCCGCCCTCCATCCTTAGGAGGGGGAGGAGGAGAAGGAGGAGGAGGAGGAGGTGACCAGAGCAAGCCCAGCATGCAAAAGCGTTGCTGCAATGCAGGGAAGACGCCGGAATGAAGAGCCACCTTGGGCTCGGGAGCAGCTCTGGATCCCGGGACGTTCCCCTGATCTGGCCGAGGCTCGCCATGGCCAGAGAGGCCCCCTCCGTTCAGCAGCGCGATGTGCCCGTACACCCTCCCGCCTCGAGCCCCCTCCCCACCGGTCCGGTCCCAGCAGGCATTCCTCTCTCAGCGCGGAAAGGGTCGGGAGACTCTCCATGGGGGGGGATCCCATGGGGGGGCAGGAGGGGATCCCCCCATGGGATCCCCTCCTGCCCCCCCATCGGATCCCCAGGGGATCCTATGGGATCCCCCCCCTGGGATCCTATCCCCCCATGGGATCCCCCCCCCCATGAAGAGTCTCCCGAAAGGGCCCCCCCCCGTTTTTCACAGGGGGCGAGCACCCCGGGGGGGGGCGAGCACCCCGACCTCTTCGGGCGAGGGCCCCGCCTCGAGAGGGGCGCGCCCTCTCCATGCGCTCGGGCCAGCGGGGCGCGCAGAGAGGCAGGGGCGCCAAGACCAAGGGGGGGTGTCCAGGTGGTGCAGTCTCGCCCTCCGGTCGTACAGGCGGGGCGCTGGAGAAGGAGCCCTTTTCGTTGGGGGAGGGGCTCGGCGTTCCGTGATCGTTTCAGAGTGTTTGCCTCGGGTTTTCCCGAGGCGCTCCGTGGGAAGTCGAGGTTGAGCTTATGGGAAGAAGGGGCCTCGTTCCTTATTTTGGGTTCCCTAGGTCAACGCTTCGACTGTACAGTCTCACCTTCTGCTTCACGAGCCAGCGGAGGTCTCAAGGAAGAGTGGCGCTCCGGAGAGGAGCCGCCGTCCAGCCGTACAGCTGTTCCGCATTGCGTTCCACTGCGTGCAGTCCATTTCAAGCGCAACGTGATTTGAGCTGCAACCCCATGTCTCTCGCGTGGGCGTGGAGGCGAGACGAGGTACACCTCCTCATGCTATTCTTCCTCCCCCTCCCTACTCCTCCTCCCTTGCCCCCCCCTTTCCCTCCTCCTGCCCTTCCTCCTCCTGACCTTTCGTATCCTCTCCCCCCGTTCTCCTCCAGTTCTTTGTCCTCCTCATCTATCACCTGCCTCCCCGTGTTCGTCCTCGTCCTCCTCGTCTTCCTCCTCCTCCTTCTCCTCCTCCTCCTCCTCCTCTTCCTCTTCCTCCTGCTCCCTTCCCTCTCCTCCTCCTCCTCCTCCTCCTCCCCCTCCTCCCCCTCCCCAATCCTCGTGTTTACCACCTCCTCGTGCCCATTGGAAGCTCGAGACAAGAGCGCACGCCGGGGCCGTGCTGGGAGCCCACTCTCTTTCGCCGGCGATGGCCGCCGAGCTGCAGGTCGGCGCCGATGTCAAGGTTCCCGGGCGCGGCCCAGGGAAGCTGGCCGCGGACCAGGCAGTGCCAAGGGGGGCCACCACCCGGTAAGGGTTCGGTCTGGCCGCAGACAGCTCCCCCAGATAGTCACGGCTGGCCTCAACAGAGTACAGTTTCGGCCGGTCTTAACACCCAGGCGCCGGCCTCGGCGGCGCCCCTGGGGCGCTCCGCGCACCGGGCTACTCGGGGGCCCTGTTGAGGCCAGCAGGGACTGCCTGGGCGGGCTGTCAGTGCTCATCCCGAGGCCTTACCATACCATCAGGGAGGTCGCCAGCTCCTCCTGAAGATCGAGGTTCGAGGAGGCTCTTGGGCAATTCTGAGCGCTTGGGGAGGTCTTGTGGGTTTGCTTGGCGGTCCGGAGGGGTCCTTTCCCTCCCCATTCCAGGAGTTTGGCGAAGCCCCAAGTGGTGACCCCCCGTGCTACTGCCTGGACAGAGAACGGCGACGGCACGTGGAACGTGCTCTTCGACGACGACAGCGAGGACCTCGAATCTCGGGGGGCGGCGGGGTCGGAGACGGCTTTGGACGCGTTGGGCTCCTGTCCGTGCTTCGTTTGGGCCGTCCTTGTGGCCACGGCTGGGTTCCCCTCGCGATTCTGGCCAGAGCGCACCCCTGGACTGGTCTGGGGGGCGGGTTTTGAGGGCGAGCCCCTCCAGACCCGAGCGGCGTGAAGGCAAAGCACGACGGGGCGCTTTTCCCCGCTTCGGGCGCCTGGCACCCTTGCTGATCGAGCCGGCTCGAAGAACTGCAGCAGCAACAAGGGGCTGGGTTGGTGCCTCCTCCCTGGCTGAATTTTGGCAGCCGCGCTGCTTGTTGCTTCGCTCGCTCGCCTCACGCTTTTCATACCTCTTGCTGGCTCTCTTGAGCCAGGCTCGAATACCTCAGCGCCCACTTCGCTGCGGTGCCTGGCCGCCGGACGTCCGCGACCCTCCGCACACGCCATGGGGCCCAGCCTAGAAAGCAGCACGTGCGAGCTCCCAGCCTCGGTGCTCCGATGGCCTGCTCTCGGCAGGGCGTCGTCCCCGTGGCGGAGATCGAGCCGCTGCCGCCCATCGGCGCCGACACGCTGGTCGTCGGCACGAGCGCGGCCACGGCGGTGGTGATCTGGATGCACGGGCTGGGGGACTCGCCCGAGGGCTGGGCCCACGTGGCCCGCCGGGTGCAGCGGCAGCTCGGCCACACCAGGTTCGGGGGCTCGCGAAGTGAGGGAGAGCCCAAGGTGGGGCTGGGGAGCGGGCCCGGCCATCTGCTCCCGTTTGTCGTGCTTCCTTCCTCCAGGGGCCGTCCAGAACGATGATCCCTCCAAGCCCACCTTTGCCTCTACCCCACCTTTGTGCCCCCCCCGACAGGTGGCTGCTGCCCTGTGCGCCGAAGAACCCGGTCTCGTGCAACAGGTCAGGGGAGGAAAAGGGTACAGCTGGCACGCAGGTGAAGGACAGCCCTGGTTCGGGATGGGGGGGCCCTCGTGTTCTTCGTGCTTGGGATGTCCGCCTCGGAGTGTTCTCTTCGTTTGGGGCATCTGGCATCTCCGCAGGGGCCGTCGTCCGTTGGAGAAGGGGCTCATGTTGATCCACGTTCTTGTGGCCATGTTTCGTCGCCGTCGCCGCTGGTGATTTCCTGTCCAGAAGGCGCCCCGGGAGAGGTCCAGTCCAGGGAGTGGCGGCATCGGTATGAGTCGTTCCCCCAACAGGGGCATGGTCATGACCTCGTGGATGGACCTGCTGGCCATCCCGATCTCGCCCACGACGCCTGACAACGGCCTCCACCTGCCGGAGAGCGTGGCCATCGTCCACCAGCTCGTCGACTCCCAGCTGGCGCGGGGCGTGCCCGCGAGCCGCATCGTCCTCGGCGGGTTCTCGCAGGGCGGGGCGCTGTCCCTCGTCGCCGCGCTGAAGTACCCGCAGAGGCTCGCCGGCGCCTGCGTGCTGTCCGGCTGGTGCCACCCGAGCGCGGGCGTGCCCGCGCTGCTCGAGGCTCAGGAGGGGAAAACACACACAGACACAATCAGTCGTCGACTCCCAGGAAGGTATGGGAAAACACGGGAACCGGGCGGGAAGACAAGAACCCAGAACATATGGGGAAATATGGGGAATCATTTTATTTGTGTGTATGTATTTTGGAAAATATGGGAAAATATTTGGAAAATATGGGAAAATATGGAAAAGTGTGGGAAAATATGGAAAAATGTGGGAAAATATGGGGAATCGTTTCATTTGTGTGTATGTATTTGTGCGTCCTTGGGCCCCTTGCGAGGCGTCCCCCAGCCGGCCCAGCCGCTTCCTGGTGTGCCACGGCGACGCCGACGCCGTCGTCCGCCCCGGCTGCGGCGGCGCCGTGCGGGAGGCCCTGGCGGCCGCCGGCTCCCCGGTGGCCTTCCGCTCCTACCCCGGGATGGGCCACAGCTCCTGCGAGGCGGAGCTGCAGGACGCGGGGGAGAAACGCCTTGGGGTGTCGTCGAAGGTCCGCGCGGATACTCGGGTTGTGTGTGTGTGTGTGCGTGTGTGTGTGTGTGTGTGTGTGTATGTGTGTGTGTGTGTGTGTGTGCGTGTGTGTGCGCGTGTGCGTGTGTGCGCGTGTGTGTGTGTGTGTGTGTGTGTGTGTGTGTGCGTGTGCGTGTGTGTGTATCTCTGTGTGTGTGTGTGTTTGTTTGTGTTTGTGTGTGTGTGTTGGTGTTTATGTTTGTGTTACGGTTGTGTGTGTGAGTCTGTGTGTATGTGTGTATGTCTGTGTGTGTATGTCTGTGTGTGTGTGTCTTAACATGCTCACACGGGGCAATGTGATGAGAACAAGTGATGCTTTTCAAGGTCGTGAGGAATGGGGCTCCTTTTTCAGCCTCGCAGCTGGAGGACCTGAGGACCCATAACTTATACAATATTTACACAAAACAACACATGAGTGATGTCGACAGTGAGGTTCATTGTGACATTGGCTGTGAGATAGAAAGCGGGGACGATAGAGAGGTTACATTGCAACGCACGCGTCGTCGCTAACCCGGGGGTGCGTCAGCAGCGTCGCCATCAGCACACCCATCGCATTTGCTAGCAGTTGGTTTTTCCCCCCCACTCCCCAACCGCCTTGTCACCCGAAGGGTGGTCGTATAGGTATAAGTAATTATTTCCCCAAACGGTGCTTTCTCGGGTCGGGCGAAAGGGGGGGATTGGGAAAGGGGGGGTACGAAATTTGCTGCATGCAGCTGGTTTCGGCCCCACCGAGGGGCCCATTCCTCGATACATAGCCGCCTCCGGCGCCGGGAGGCGCCGGGAAAATCAGCTCCGTGAGCTGATTTTCAAACCCCCCCTTTACTATCCCCCCCTTTCGCCCGACCCGAATGGTGCCGCCGTCGTCACCCCGTCGCCGCCTCGTCGCCGCCCGTCTTCTGAGGACTCTGCCGGTTTTGGCGGCGCCGTCGCCGCCCTTGTCAAGTAATACCATGCGCGCACGTCGAAATCATTCCAAAACCCTCATCACCTCCTCCTCCTCCTCCTCCTCCTCCTCTTCCTCCTCCTCCTCCTCCTCCTCCTCCTCCCGACCCGTGGACACCATCATCGTCATCTCGTCACCGGCGTGATCGGCAATGGCGCCGTCGTTGGCATTGCCATCGTCATCGTCATCGTCGTCACCAGCATCGCTACAACCATCATCATCGTGTCTGCCATTGTCGACGTCGCCACGATACGGCGCCCACCTGAGTCACCGACTGGCACTAAGGTGCCCGCGCGTCAGCGTTGCCTGCGAGACGCGCTTGGAATGTCCCAGCGGTCAGCGCCACCGCGGTGGCGTCGGGTGCTAGCTGGCCGTTTTGCGCGAGACCCTCCGCGCGCTGGCGCGGCCGCGGCGAAGCGCCAGCCAGCACCAAGCAGCCATTGCCATCGTCGCCGCATAGGTTTTGCAAGCCAAGTTGCTGGTGGGTGGGTGGGATTCGTTCGCGAGTCGTGAATTTAGAATGTCAAGTTTGGCAGGGTGAATTGCACCACGCAGATTCCCATTCTCTGAAAGGGAGATAGGGCCTACCTCCCCCCCGGGGTTATCCGTACCCCGTCGGGATGTTCAGTTTACACACGATACTGCCCCACTGCTTATTCCAAATATGAGGTCGTACCAACCCAGCCATACTGGTGTCGACCCCCCACCATCTGTGTTCAAATAATTCTGCGCGCGCACTCGTTTAGCATGAATCATCAGCTGCCAAGACCCCCTAGCGGAACAAATGATACAGAACCCGCACGATCAAAGCGTCGCGCGCGCATGCCTAAATCCTTTTAGTTCTCTTGGGCGTCGTAGAGGTTTAAACATCGAGTTTCCCGACAACAGGAATCATGGTTTTGCAACCCGATGTGTTGTTTAAGAGTCTGCGCGCTTATGTGGATTCCTTTCTTTTATATTACTTGAATCAAACAAGCCATGCGTTTTCAACATGCCCTCAACTGCGACTAAGAGGGCCTCTGGCGCGCGCGTGTCGCAATCATTGTAAGGCCCACGCGCGCGTGTTACGGGGGGCCATGGTCATTTCTACATGATGTCATTCGGGCCTCTCGCTCGCGCCGGCCGCTCGCGCATGGCAGAATCCTAGCACACCTTCCGCCACCGTCGCGTGGACACCATCACCGTCATCGGCGTTATCAGCATCAGCGCCGTCATTGGTCTTACCGTCGTCATTGCCATCATTGTCACCAACATTGCTACACACATTATTGTGTCTGTCGGTGTCAACGTCGCCACGATACTGCGCCCACCGTAGCCACCGACTCGCATTCAGATGCCCGCGCGTCAGCGCGACCTGCAGGACGCGCTGGTAAGATCCCAGCGGTCAGTGCCACCGCGGTCGCGTCGGTAATGCCAGTCTGGTTGGCCATTCCGCGCGCGACCCTGCGCGCTCTAGCGCGGCCGCAGCGATTTGCCAACGAGCGCCAAGCACCTATCGCAATCGCCGCCGCGTGGGTTTTCCAAACCGACGTGTGGGTGGTTGGGTGGGGCGATGTCGCGAACAGTGGAGTTGACAAGTCAAAAATCAGTAGGGTGTATTGCGCCACGTGGGGTGCACATCAAATATTGCACAACATAGGCTGCACAACATGTGTTGCACCACATGGATTGTGCAACATAGATCGCGAAATACAGGTTGCACCACGTATAGTCTCCTTTTCCAAGATAGTAATAGTTCCCCCCTGGAATTACCGAGTCACCTTTTCGTATTGCAATGTACGTATGATTCTGCCCCATCGTCCATTCTATTTTTGAACCCATACCATCCCAGCCCAGCCGGTACCGACACCCCCCGCCATCTTCTTCAACAGCTGGTATGCGCGCACCCTCGTTAATCAGAATTTATCAATTTTCAGGTCCCTCGAAGAAAATGGGACGACGAGCGCACGCGCGCGTCGTCGCGCGCGCATGCCCAAATCCTTGCAACACCTCTTGGTTCGTAAGTAGTTCAATATCGAGTGTCACCAGAACGTACATATATGTATATAAACATTTAGTTTCGCAAAGGGAATTTTCAAACCAAGTTTGCACCCGCGATCTTGCGAATTCATAGTTTTCAGCGTTTCCATCACATGCTTCCAAATTTGCCTTTTCGCGCGCCCGTGTCGAAATCCTTCGGACGCTCTTGCGCGCGCGGTGTCGCAATAATCCCTAGCAGCAAACGGGACGAAGTGCACGCCCGCGTCGTCGCGCGCGCATGCCGTAATCCTTAGAAAAACTTTCGGTGTCGTAAGGATGTCAACATCGAATGCCCCGAAAACATATAAGACCACACGGCTGTGCAATATCATTTTTTTCAAAACGCATTGTTCTCGCGCCCGTGCGGATTCGTAATTAAACCATCGGTTTTCCAACATGTTTATCACGTTCTGCCAAACGGGCCTCTCGCGCCGCATTCCGAACTCATTCGGACGCTGTTGCGCGCGTGCTGGGGGGGGGCACGATCCGTGTCAAATCATACCACGCGAGCCAATCGCGCGCGTCGGCCGCGCGCGCATGTCGAAGCCCTTCAAAAATCTGCATCGCCGACGCGAGGACATCGTCATCGTTATCGGCGGGCGTGGTCAACATCGGCGCCGTCATTGGCCTTGCCGTCGTCACCGCCACCTTCGTCACCAGCACTACTCTCATGAGCGTGTCTACCGTTGCCTCAAGCAGAAGCTCATGCTGAAGCAGAGCTTCAGCGTAGACTTCTCAAACTCACCAGCCGGATCGGCGGATTTTTGCTCCAGTCGCTCTCTCCCTCCCTCCCCTCCTCTCGCTTCTTCTTTTAATCCACCTGGAGCTTCTGTGTCTTTACGTCCTGCTGGCGCATCCGGTGTCTGTTCAGTCAGCTTTTCGTGGCGCCGGGACCGGCAGCCAGATCTGCGCCTCACACAGAAAAAAGTGCTGTCTTGGGAGAGCGTTGTCTGGCGAAGGATAAATCTTTGTATATGTTTATTTTTACATAAATGTGTATACATGTATATGTATCTATATATTTATATACGCACGTCTGTCCTCTTCTAAGGACCTGGAGTGCTTCCTGCGGGAGGTGCTGCCGGAGGAACCTGGCTGCCCCGCCCCTGCGGCGTGA